AGTGAGTAGTTCTCCCTTGTTTGATGTGAGCAAACATTCATTTGGTGCTCCCCTTTCAAGAAGCGGTGGTAGATTGATACTTTATGGCTTTTAAATGTGTCACCACTACATTGCAATGGCCTAAAGAGATGTGGGCTCTGCTAATGCAGTGCAAGCTGTTCAGGTAAGACCAGGAAATATGTTTTGCATTACCGATAGAGAAAAGTCCAGACTAAGTCTGACTGGTGATCAAATAAACTGTTCTGCATGCTTGTGAGGTAGTGCCTGAAACATATAGACAAAGATTTAGGGCCCATAAGAAAACTGACAGACAAACATTTGTGGAGTTTGCAAGAGATAAATGGTGTATATCAATTAAAGCACTTTTGAAAACTTAAAAGAGATAATTGTATTGTAAGATTTCAAAAGTTAAAAGTTAAATGAACAGTAAGTGACATCAGCCGCTGTACTCACTGCCATTGTAATTATATTTTGAGTTAAATCTCCAACAGACATATTCTGGGGACACATAGGACTTATGTTGTATCTAGTAAAATGGGCAAAATATGGCAAAAATCCCTTAAAGAGATATTTCACCGAAAAATGAAAGATTGCTGTTAATTTACTCATCCTCAGACCATCCAAGATGTATAGGTGACTTTATTTTTAGTAGAACTGGTAAAGAAGATTTTTAGCTAAAACCATGGTCCTTGGTGATTCATAAAATGCAGCTACTGTCACTTTGGGGGAAAAGGCAGGGACTTTCAGCAAATGTAGATGCATGCCAATGCAAGGAGGATTTTGTTAAAGTCTGTCCACATGTTATGACTATGTGGACCATGGAAAGCTTTGTGCTCTGCCAATGTAAAAGGTCCACACATTTATTTTGTTTTAGTCAGGCAAAGAGAGACTGACCATTAACCCTCAAGTCATTTGTTTGACTTTAAACTTTAAGGCAGTTATTTCAATGAAAACCATCAGAGACTTTCGGTCCTGGGTAGGGAGTTGTAATATCAGGAACCATGTATTCACAAAACCTGTTTAAATCAAAACAGTAATTAAACAAACTAAATCTTCTCAATATATCATTGGTAAATTACTTCCATATGTTGGATGTGCGGTTTTTTGAGCCACAGTTTATGTTATCATGGCAAAAGCGTGGTATGGCATAATCCAGTTTTACAGAATTGGATCAGCCTGACAGCGTCGAGGTTTTATGCTGTGATAATAAAAACTCCATGTTTGCATGCATGTAAAGGTGAAGAAAGAGTGCTCCTCTGAGAGCAACGCCATTACTTGTTTTCCTTCATTTTGACACTTGCGTCATTGCAGGATTGGCGTATGCTTGAAGTTTCCCTTCTGGAGATTTTTGAAGGAAAATTGAAAGGCTATACCTCAGCTGCCATGTCATCAAACACCATTGAAGGCTGTTTTATAGGATGTAGCCTTCAGATTGAGAAGCACCACAACTGTAATCTGAAAAAAGAGAACAAAATGTATGCCTAAACAGATGACAGAATCATTTTTGGGTGAAATATCCCTTAATACCTTTGGATAGACAATATATTTATATGTAAACCTTAGTTATACTCAATGTTAACGTAATGTTAGTTATACTTATTGTTAATGTTAACATGTTCCAGGTTAAATAAATAAACATTACTTACATTTTTAAAAAATTCAAATTTGTATTTTTATATTATCAATGTAATTAATTAATTATTTACTAAAATCAGAACCAGAATGAGCGTTATTCATCAAGAGTGCACAAATACACACGGAATTTGGGTCACACTTTATTTTAAGGTCCAATTCTCACAATTAACAAACTATTAACTACGACTTTTGCCTCAATAAACTCCTAATTTGCTGCTTATTAAAAGTTAGTAGGGTAGTTGTTAAGTTTAGGTATTGGGTAGGATTATGGTCATGCAGAATATGTGCTTTATAAGTACTAATAAACAGCCAATATGTTAATAATAGGCATGCTAATAAGCAAATAGTTAATAGTGAGAATTGGTCCTTATACTAAAATGTTACCCATTTAAATTAGTAAAAATTAAGTAAAATAATAATAATAATAATATAAAAAAAACAATAAAGTAACTTACATTAGATTTGACAGTTTATGTACAGATATGTGCATTGTGTGCTGTATACCTGTATAAATAATATGTATTTACATATTGCCTAACGCCACAAGAGCACTGAATTATAATTTATAACAAAAAGCAGGTCGTAAATTGGTGTGTTAGTTATTAAAGTTGGATATGGCCTGGGGAAAAACACAGTTTTTGTGCCTAGATGTAGTGCACAGAAATCTGTAGCGTCTGCTTGAGAGGACAAGTGCCAACAGGTTGTGGCCTGGGTGAGAGGGGTCTGTGATGACGTTACCTGCCCGTTTAGCTGGTGCACACTAATTATCCTCTCAGCTTCCTAACAGTCCGTTGCAGTCTTCTTAAGTCTGATTTGCTGGCTGACCCAAACCAGGCTCTTATAGAAGAGCACAGAACCGACTCAATAACAGCTGAGTAAAACTGTGAGAAGCTCCTATGTCAGGTTGAACTTCATCAGCTGGCGAAGGAAATACAACCTCTGCTGGGCTGAATGACTCTACTGCAGCCACAGCGCTGTCCATGACGGTGAGTGGAGGGAGTGCTGGGGTGTTTCTCCTGAAGTCCACTATCATCTCCACTGTTTTGAGTGTGTTCAGCTCCAGGTTGTTATGACTGCACCAGACAGTCATTTATATGCAGACTCGTCACCGTCCTGGATGAGGCCAATGAGTTTAGTGACATTTGCACTAGACGTGTGATATTTATGTGAAGAAATTACACTCTGAACCCATGAGGATTTTCACAAACTGAGTGTGAAACTTGTGCCCTTCTCTCCCCTACTGTTAATGTGCCTCTAGGAACCGGATTGCGAAACACTGAACAGTTGTTGTGACTGCATCAGACAGCCATCTGCTCAGACAGTCATTTATATGCAGACTCGTCACCGTCCTGGATGAGACCGGTGACTGTAGTGTCATCTGCAAAGTTCAGGAGCTTGACAGAGGGGTCTGTAGAGGTGCAGTCATTGGTGTAGAGGGAGAAGAAAGAGAGGTGGGGAAAGAATGCAACCTTGTGGTGCAGCAGTACTGATTGTACAGGTATTAGAAATTTATTTTCACAAAACAAAGTATATATCTGTATAGGTATGGGCATTCCAGTCCCTGGGTAGAAATCACACATTTGCACTAGACGTGTGATATTTATGTGAAGAAATTACACTCTGAACCCATGAGGATTTTCACAAACTGAGTGTGAAACTTGTGCCCTTCTCTCCCCTACTGTTAATGTGCCTCTAGGAACCGGATTGCGAAACACTGAACAGAAATTAGTAATAGTAATTAATTGTAATGGCACATTGCTAACACATTGTCAGCATTTTGTCGTTAAATTTAAAAACCTCACTGAGATGGCCTGGCACAAATATACATATATACGAGTAACAATATATAATAAAACAAACATAGAACATACAACCTTAAACATATTTACACATCATTAATTCATTCTCTAGACCAGTGGTTCTCAACCACATTCCTGGAGGCCCCCCAACACTGCATGTTTGCCATGTCTCCTTAATCAAACACACCTGATTCAGATCATCAGCTCATTAGTAGAGACTCCAAGACCTGAAATGGGTGTGTCAGACAAAGGAGAGATACAAAATATGCAGTGTTGGGGGTCCTCCAGGAACGTGGTTGGGAACCACTGCTCTAGACCTTGCATAACAATTTTAAAATGATTGAAAGACACCAAATTATGTAGCCATTGTTTTGTTTGAAAAGATTTCCAAACTGAGAAGGTGGCATATTTAAAGGGTGGTCTAGTCAGAGTTACATAGAGATTATAATAAGTTTGTGAGCATAATAAACCAGACGCTTTTTTTTTTTTTTGAATGAATGAATGAATGAAACAACAGAGAGGTAAAAGACCTAATATATTTTATATTATGCTTTGCATATCAAGTACTAATGCATTGTCCTTTGAGTGATTATTGACTGTGTTCCAAACAAGCTTGAGAGACAGACTACGTTAAAGAGGAAAAACAAAAATAAACACAGAGCAGAGAAGACAGTGATGAAACCTGAGTCTTGTCACAAGTTCACAAGTCACTGTAAAAACCTAAAGATATAACTTATTTGAGTTTTTAGCTTCTTCTCATATGTTTTTGTCACTGTGATTACTTCAAGCAGGATTGTTTTTAATAGAACCAGACAAAAAGTCAAAAAGAGTCAGGAGATGTTTTTATTTAGGGGTAATAAGTCATTAGTATGGCTATTATTATTTATAAATAAAACATCAGACCTTTTGAGTAGATATCAAATTAACACATAGTTTGTTATAAAAAGTTGAGGCTTTAAATCAGTGCTTCTCAAGCTTGTCCTGAAGATCCCCCACCACTGCACATTTAGCATGTTTCTCATATCAGACAAACCCATTTGGGGTTTTGCAATCTCTACTTGATCTACTCGATGATGAGTTGAATGAGGTGTGTTAGATGAGGAAGACATCCAAAATGTGCAGTGGTGGGGGGTTTAGACAGGTTTGAGAAGCACTGCTCTGAATAATAAAAATAAAATAAAATTAGATTATAATAAAGGAAAGGTAGTTCTGCAAAGGTAAATTGGGAAAATACATAATATTTTTAATTATTGATGGTTAAACACTAACATAAATTTACATCGTAGTTTAATGTTTAATCGCTGCAAGATTAATCTTTAATGAGCCGAAAAGAACACGTCACACCTCTGTTCATCAATTTGCACTGGCTACCAGTAGCTGCTCGCATTAAATCCAAGGCATTAATGTTTGCCTACAAAACCACCACTGGCTCTGCACCCATTTACCTAAATACTGCGTTAGGCTAACCGAGACTTGTCATTTGCACTTATATATTGTTGCTCTTTTGTTAGTTTTGACTGCTTTTATTGTCCTCATTTGTAAGTCGCTTTGAATAAAAGCGTCTGCTAAATGACTAAATGTAAATGTCTAAATTTAATGTAAATATAAATTTACTTCATAAAGCTTCTTAATGTTGCATAAATGTTGAAAAGGTGCAAGGTTTTTCTTGAAACATTTGCTTTTAGTTAAATAGATTATTTGAAGAACAGCTGACAATGTTTTTGTGGTCTGTAATAACCTGACTATTATCTGATGATTTTAAATAAAACAATATTCCTATCAAGCAGTTTACTTGGGTTGCTTATAGAATGATTACATTTACATAACTGAAGATGCTTCACATATCGGATCCACATAAATGTTAGGTAAGGTACTTTGTACTTTGATTTTTGTTAAAGAGTGTAGATTCGTTTTTTCTTTTACATTTTGTACCCCTTTTGTACTTTTTATTCCCACCTTCTGTAAATAATGTAAGTAAACTACTTGCTTTTTCACCACTTTGCATTGTCCTGTGCACTGCACTATATCTTTCATAGTTAAAGTTACAACCCTATATCTCTAGATTGACACCTAGGGACAAAACAAATAACCGAAGGAGAAAAAGTCAGATTATTGCAACCCAAGAAAACCTAACCACTGACAGGAAATATCTGCAACTTTTTATGATGACACACAATATACTCTGTAATTATTCAGCAACTGCCACATACAATAAAACACATTTTCCCTCATTGTACATATTTAATTATTATTTAATTATTGAGAGATTGTACAGACTATGCAATATGCCTTAAAGCAGAAGTGGACAGCTTTTCACACCACTCGCCCAAGCAGGAGGGGGCGGCTCTCTGCAGTGGATCTCCGGCTCAGAAGGTTCCACAGCATTAAAGGCACTGAGCTTCTTCCAGAGCTGAAACTGCTGCTTGCATTATAATCTCTCAGTGGATGGTACTCCTTAAATCGCCTGGATAGAAAAATATACCTTGAGGGTTACTTTAATGTACATAAACTTCATTTACATTTAACTAGGCAGCACACAATAACATACTATTAATATTAATTTTGATAAAACCCATATGTGTATTGGTGTCTTACTTGTATATAAATGCAATGGCCCCCACAGCACAAATAAAAACCAGGACTCCCAGTGTTGCTCCAGCCATGTTCCTTGATGAATTTGTGTCTGCAATTTTAACAGGATAAGTTGTGGAGTAGTGAGGTCATAGGGTATGCTCAGGAAAATACATTTTATTATTTTAGATATGCTTTGATTTTATATGACACTTGCCTATAGCCACACTGAGCTTTGCACTGGTTACTGCCAAGCTGACATCATTGGTTAGAGAGACGTTGATACAGAAGGTGCCAGAGTTGTTGAAAAATTGTCGCAGCACCATCTGACACTCAGAGGTTGGAGTCACAGCATTACACTGTAGGGCCTGAACAGGGCTTGTGCAGTCTGCATCAGATACCACAGTGCAGACTTGATTTGGCAGGCTGGCAAGCAAATATAAAAGATTAATAACTTTGCATAACACATTTTATGTTCTACAACAGCCATCATTATTATCAATTTAAGACTATTATAAAACAGTAACAGCCGAAAACAGTAAAGCCATATACAGTTTATAAAATAAATCCATATTGAAGGAATATTTACCTTCCCTGGCATGTGACTGTAAGATCTACAGCATTCTGCTCCAGGTCTGTGGCCAGAATGACCACATTATTTACCTCCACAATCTCAACACTCTCTATTCCCTCTGATTTAGGAAAACATATTTGTAGAGAATATTAAACTGTATGTAGACAGGCTGTTTTTGTGCTCATCAATACACTATTAAGTGTTTATATATATAAAAAATTGAGGTCGAAGAGATCTGTTTACAGGTATCATTAAGACAACATAATAAATGTGAAAGTAAATTATGACCATACATTTAGGTGAGGCAGATTCTGGGATGAATCTAACACTATTTTACTAAACTATGATTAACTACTAGTAGCTTGAGTTTTACATTTAAAATACAAATGCAGAATACTTTTGGCAGAGGTCTAGTCTTTGTGTAATTCAGCCTGAGGGTGGCACTCTAACCTTGATGGGCAGACGCTACATACATAGAATATTATATTAGAATACACACTTTAATATGTAATACTTTATCCCCCAGTTTCACAGACCAAGCTTAAGCCTAGTCCTACACTAAAATGTAAATCTGAGCTGTTTCAAATGAAAGAAACTTGCACTGACTCATCTTAAATAATATCAGTGCCTTTGTTTTGACAAGACAAAATTACTGGTGTGCATTACTTGCACACCAGTAATGTTTTTTTCTAAGGCACGTTTATAAAAATTACTTAAATGTCCTAATTGAACTATGGCCTAATCCTGGCTTAGTCTAAGCCCTGTCTATGAAACCAAGCCTTTGTGTTTGAATACTGAATTAGAATGTTACGAATTGTGGAAAACAAAAGCCATGTTGATTCCCAGAACAATTAACTAAGCTACATGTGTCTGTTTGCATCGCTACACTTTCAGATAAACATAATTTTCTATTTTTAATCGTCAAAAATTTCAGGTTTTACTATCCTTGTGGGGACATTGTGGGGACATCCTTGTGGGTCCCCACAATGTAGCATAAACAAGTACACACACACACGGTAGTGTGGAGTAACCCTAGGGGTAAAAGGCCCCCCCTACTGTTTTTTCCCAAAACAATGACTAGATAAATGACTAGATAAAGTCGAGATACATTTTTGTTGTAACTATGGGCTACGTTGACGAGTGTGATGTAGAAGTATTCACTATGCAGCTAACACTGGTGATGTATCTGAGAAAATGGATTTCACAGTGATCTAAGTTATCTAATTTTCAGCATAAGAAAAAAAGTGTTTTAAAGCTTGTTGTTTTGTAGAACATCACATTTATATTTGATATGAGAATAGTAGGGCCTGTATAATTATATTTTCAGAATGACATAATTTTTTTTTTTCAAACATAGTTCACTATACTCATCTCACTTTACAACTTAGAAACTCCAAAAAATTATTATTGAATAATGCTGAACACATTTACAGGTTAACAATTTAGGATTGGTTCAGTTTATATAGAGTTTGAATGTTTTCAAGTGGATGAATATTTTTGTGGCTGTTTGAAAGCCTGTTTAGCGTTAGTATAGTGTTTCTCAATTCCAGCCATGGCACACCCACCAATCTGCACATTTTGAATGCCTCTCTTATCTGACACACTCAGTCCAGTTCATGGAGCTCTCTCCTAATGAGATGATAATCTGAATCAGCTGTGCTAGATAAGAAAGACATACAAAATGTATATACTGTAGCTGCTGCGTTAGTACAGCAGTGTTCAAATTGCAGCATTTTATGGTTTTGACGCTGCTACACAATTTGTTTCGTCATTATTTTAGGTGATATGTAACACAATTTTGACAGGTAAGCCAGCAATACTGAAGTGAAGCCATGTTCGTGGTGGTTGGAATATAAGGATCAAATATAGCAGAAGTTAAGGGCCCAAGCACAACAGAGGCAGAATGAGGAGCAAGCATGGCAGGGAGGATCAGACCAAATGCAACAAAGAGTAATTAAAGACATTTTAAAGTGGTTTTAAAATTCATTAATTCAATCATTAGTACTTATCATGACTTATTTAACTTAATTTTGAATTTTGTTCCCACTTTATATTAAGTGGCCTTAACTACTATGTACTTACATCAAAAAAATTAGTACAGTGTAGGGGAGAGCGGGGCACAAAGTAACACTTTTTGACTTTCTCAAATTGTGTAAATCCACATGGGGTTCAGAGTATAATTTTTTTTATCCACAGTAATTTCACACTTGTCTAGTACAAATATGTCGCTTTGTTTCATAATTACAGTGTATACATTACAGCTGAGGTAACATGACCATATGACAGCTTAAAATGTTATCTGATCGCATGAAAAAAATATACAAGACATACAAGACA